AAAGTACTGCATTTAGGAAGGAAAAATCAAATGCACAAATACAAAATGGGGAATAACTGGCTATGCAGTGGTACTCCAGAAAAAGATCTCAGGTTTATTGTGGATCACAGTTTGAATATATGTCAACAATGTGATGCAGTGGCCAAAAAAGCTAACAGTTCTGGGGTATTACGAGGCGTATATAAGACATGGGAGGTAACAGTCTTGTTCTGCTCATCACTGGTACCCGAGCTGGAGTACTTTGTCCTGTTCTGGGCACCACACATTGGGAAAGATGTGGACAAATTAGAGTCCAGAAGAGAAAACAAAATAAAAGGTTTACAATAGCTGACCTATGAAGAAAGGTTTAAAAAAACAACTTGGCATGTTTAGTCTTGAGAAAAGAGGACTGAGGGGGGACTTGATAAGTCTCCAAATATATGTTAAGGGCAGTAATAAAGAGGACTGTGATTAATTGTGCTCCAAGTCCACTGAAGGTAAAACAAGAAGTAATGGGCTTAATCTGCAGCAAGGGAGATTTCAGTTAGATATTAGAAAGTTTTCCTTTAACTATATGGATAGTTAAGTTCCAAGGGAGGCAGTGAAATCTGCATTGTTTGAGGTTTTTGAGAATAAGTTGGACAAACACTTGTGAGGGATAATCTAGGGGTATACTTGGTTCTGCCTCAGCATGGGGGGGATGGTCTGGATAACTTCTCGAAGTTTCTTCAGCCCTACGTTTCTCTGACACCTAAATACTTTTCAGAGTCACTGCTTTCCAGGACACAGTCCTCCATTTGGTAGGTATCACCTCCATTCATTGTTCCTAGAGGTATTAAAACATTTTGCTTGAATCCAGATCTCTCTGGAGGACTGCTCTGTCCTCATAATTATTTACCACTCCACCAATCTTTCGTCATCCAAAATTTTATCAGTAATGATTTTATATTTACTTCCCATTCATTGGTGAAAATATTCAATAGTGTTGGGCTACTGTTGCTCCCTGCAGAAGCCCATTAGAAACACCCACGTTCAGTGATGACTCCCTATCGACAGCTTCTGGTTGAGACTTCCCCATTAGCCTTTTCTTAATCCATATAACGTGCTTTATTAATTTATTTTTTTAAAGCACTATACAGTATCACTCTCTCATGCAGCACTAAATCAAAGTATATTTACTCTGCAGATGTTCTTATACCGTGCTCATCATCAGGTATCTGAGCACCTTCCAGTAGTTCATCAAGCAGTATGACTACACATCTATCATATGGTGTTTATCCTTTCATCCTCTTCCCAGGAAAAGAAGCACGTGCAATTGAGTTTCTTATTTTTGCAGGGATTTAGGTTGTTTTTTAATTATTTAACTATACAAGTTGCTATATATGTGCTAAGGAAGGCAAGATCAAAGAAATTAGTCTTGCACTTGGAGCAGAAGGTGGCAAGGTTTATGATGTATTCTAGTTCCTGGGAGAGTTCATGCCACAGTCTGGGACTGGCCCACAAGAAAGTTCCTAATACTGCACAAACAAACTTTACCCTTATTATAGAGAGTGTCGCTGTTCCTGAGAAGCAGAATTGTTGACTATGGTCTTTATTCTGGAATTTAGGAAATCTTTTAGATATCCTGGGACCAGTCCATTGAGCACCTTAAAGATAGGGATTGAGACTTTGAACTCGATTCTGAATTCTATGGCAAACCAGCGTAGAGTGTGGAGGACAGATGTGGTGTATTAGCGGATGAATGTGTTGCTGAGGAGAGGTTGTGCAGTGTTCTGTACTAGTTGGAGTTTCCTAAATGCTGAAGGTTTTGTGGCCAGGAAACTGCACTGCTATAGTCCAGCCTGAGAGGTGCTTCTACATAAATAGGTGCCTCTATATAAATCCATGATAGGTCCACATCTTGAATACTGCATGCAGATCTGCATGCATCTCAAAAAAGATGGAATTAGAAAGTACAGAAAAGGGTAACAGAAATGATTAGGGGTATGAAACAGCTTCCATATGAGTAGAGAGTAATAAGACGGACTTTTCAGCTTGGAAAAGAGACAACTAAGGGGAGATATGATAGAGGTCTATAAAATCATGACTCATTTTGAGAAAGGAAGTGTCGTTTATTCCTTCTCATAACACAAAAATTAGGGGTCACCAAATGAAATTAATAGGCCACAGGTTTAAAACAAACAAAGGGAAGTATTTCTTCACACAATGCACGGTCAATCTGTGGAACTCTTTGCCAGAGGATGTTGTAAAGGCCAAAACTATAACAGGGTTCAAAAAATAACTAGATACATTCATGGAGGAGGATAGGTCCATCAATGGCTATTAGCCAGGATGGGCCGGGAAGGTGTCCCTAGCCTCTGTTTGCCAGAAGCTGGGAATGGGTGACGGGATGGATCACTTGATGATTACCTGTTCTGTTCATTCCCTCTGAAGCACCTAGCATTGGCCACTGTTGGAAGATGGTACACTGGGCTAGATGGACCTTCTTATGTGTATAGCCAGACCTAAAATTGGACTCAGGCCGCTAGTTCTGTACCCCATAAAATTGATCCAGTTTGCCACTCCTGTTCACCTGGCAGTTGTCTTGTATACTAAGCCTTACTGCTCAGCTCCCTCCCTCGCAAACAGAGAGGGAATAGCTACACAGAAACTTCAAATGCTGGTTCTGTTCAAAGTCTCAAGTGTCCCAGCAACAAGGCCCTTACTGAAACACAGAGACCTGTCTCACCTGGGCAAGTCAGGGGTTCGCAGCCGAGTCACACAACACTCACAGAGAATGAACAAATCCACAGCTTCACCCTCTGAAATTCCCATTAGCTGCTGCTGTTGCCCTGCTAAAGGGTATATGTGGGTTGGGGGGAGGAATGGTGACATGGGCCACAATTTTTCACAAAGAAAAAGTTTCAATTCAGGGAGTTCCATGCCTCAGCTACATTGGAACAGTTTAACAGTGGTGGGGAAATGTCACTTGAGGTGAGATATACAGTGGTGTTCTATCCATGTTGGTCCCAGGGTATTAGAGAGACAAGGTGGGTAAGATAATGTCTTTTAGTAGACCAACTTCTGTTGGCAAGAGAGACAAGCTTTTGAACTTACATAGAGCTCTTCCAGACCCAAGGAAGCTTGTCTCTCTTGCCAACAGAAGTTGGTCTACTAAAAGACATTATCTCACCCACCTTGAGGTGAGACTTTTTTTTTTTTTTTTATCATATTGCCCTTCAAACCCTGGCTCCTTATATAAATTCCATATTCAAAACGTAGGTGAGGAGACGAAGCTTTGGGTCAGAGACGGCATATCCCAGCTCCTTGTAGAACAGTCTGACAGTTGCCAAGATGTGTCCCTTGAGTTGACCCAGAACCTGTTTTGTGTCACACGGCCAGTCAAAACTCAGTTCCTTATCCAAATTCCATATATAATATGGAAGAGAGGTGGAGGTCTGGAATTCATCAGCATATTGTGTAGGAACAAAGATTTGGGTTGGCAAGTGTCATGTCCCAGCTCCTTCAGAACAATCTGATGTTTGTGAGGACATGTCTCTTGGGGATGATCTGAGACACATTTCTCATACAGCTAGTCAAATCCCAATTCCTTATTCGAGGGCCATGGGGGAGGAGGGGAAGTGAGGTGTGTGATATGTTGCACAGGAATGAAGCTTCAGGTCAGGGTAGCATGCCCCAACTACTTCAGAACAGTCTGACAGTCACAGGGGTGTATCACTTGGGATGACCTTGTATATTGTCATGTACCAGCCAGTCAAAACCCAACTCCTTATTTGATTTATTTAATAATTAGGTAGTAATTTAAACTTTTATTGCATTCAGTCACATGAATTTGATGAAATTTCTAAAAATTTAATCCTACATTGATGTATTTTTAAATAATTTTGGCCTTTGAATAAGGAACTGGGAACTACAAATAAGGAACCAACTTGAACCTCATTACCTTATCCTCTCCTAAGTAAAGCCACCCCAAAAAAAGTTGTGGAACGAACATGACATTTACGGTCGTCATATTGGTCACTCTGCTTGTGTGTGATAGCTCTTGCCCCAACTTGTGTCTGTCTTGTCTGTTTAGATTGTAAGCTCTTCAGGGCAGCGACCATATACTTCTCTGTACAGTGCCTAATGCAACGGGACTGTACTCTGGTAGTGCCTATGGGCCAGCCAGTATTAAACATGCTTAATACAAGATAGATTTACTGGAGGTCAGAGAAGTAAAGAGAGTGAAATCATTTTAATTTTAGGGTGGAGTTTGTATCAGAATTTCTTTTGGCTAATCTAATTAGCAGTGACAGGTATATTGGTATCTGACACACAATCAAGAGAGAGAACTTTTCCCTAAAATTTAGGAAATGTTTCCTCCCTTACTTTTGACAGTAGGCAATATTTTCCCTTGCCCAGCCTGGTAAAAATGAAATTGTCAAGGCTCAATCCTGTTGTAGATGTTATGAAAGGGGAAAATGTTAGGGGCTCATTCTGCAGTATGCCGTAGGGATGCAGAAACTTCAGTTCTCAAATGAAGCTGCTTTTAATTCAAAAAACAAAATGGTGTGTCCATTGGGATAAATTGTCCAGGGATCAGTTTGATACTTCATTGTTTTGAAATAGAACTTTTTAGTTTTCATCTGTTCTTTGTGCTTAATCTCATCCTTTTCCATCCTTTTTCCATCAAGGTTTACATGGTGGTGGCATCTGATTAAAAAATTGACTGGAACCAAAGTCTATTTTTAATAGGAGTTTTGTTGTTGTTTTTCTGGCAGCAAAGTAACAGTGATTTAGGTAGGATATGGTTACAATAGCCAGTCCATTTGACTAGCATATCCAGTTTCTCTAATTGCTATCAGAGAGAAGATAACAGGTGAGGGGGAATAGTCCCCTGAAGATTTTGACAAATGATAGCGGAGACAGTCCTCTCTCTGTGGGACTACATACTGGACAGAGTACTAACTTGTTTGTCCCTGAGTAAACCATGTGTCAGTATTCAGAAGATAAACTTAACTATTTAAAAATTTGCTTTATAGTTACGGAGTGTTGCTGTGGGAACTGCTTACAGGAGAAGTTCCTTACCGTGGCATTGATGGTCTTGCTGTGGCTTACGGAGTAGCTGTCAATAAGCTTACCTTGCCCATTCCATCCACCTGTCCTGAACCATTTGCTAAACTAATGAAAGGTACCTGTGCTGCTTCTCTCTACTTATCCTGGAAGTAAATGTGTTTTAATAGCTATGCTTTTCTTATGATTTATAATAATTACACAACTCAAACACGTCATTTGGTACTGTGCTAACTCTGTATAAAGTAGTGGTTTTCCCTTTCTTGGCAATCCAGTACTAAGACATTTTAACCCATTTCAGAGTAAGCCATGCAATACTACAATATACCATATTGTTTTTAAAGATGGATCGCCTTAAGCAGTGGTTGAATTATTTCTTCTGTATTCTTTGTATTCTTGTGGCTTGTTTTCTTTTCTTTTATACTTAACTAGCTATAATGTCCGCCAAATATAGAATGCACAAGAAGTAAAATACAAAATCAAGATGACTGAATTCTTGCGGGGAGGGGATATCGCTAGCTGTTACCTCGTAGTCTTTTTGTTTTCCAAAGATTCTGTTGGGTTTCTCCCTCCTTCTCCAGAGAGAGATGAGGGACCCTGACAACTGTGCATTAATGCTACAGTGTCCAAATGGAGTTCTTTGAGTTTTTTGATTGACTCAATAAGCTTAACTACTTCGGTGCTGGCAGTCCTGCTGCTTCACATCCTGAAAATAGAGGTTATGTTGGAAAAAACTGACTTCTCATAACCTTTTAAAAACCTTGATGTACTGTAGGTAAGCATTCTCTATACCAGCAATGATAAAACTAGGCAATTCTCAGGGAGGGGAGTAAGCATTAGAACTTTGAAGTATAAATAACAAATATTTTGAAATTCATGCATTGTGTAAGTAATCCCCCTAAGATTCTGTCAATAGTGGAACTGATGGGATTTTGATGAATTTTAGAATGCTGGGAGCAGGATCCTCATATCCGACCATCGTTTGCCTTAATTCTTGAACAGCTTACTGCCATTGAGGGGGCAGTTATGACTGAGATGCCTCAAGAATCTTTCCACTCCATGCAAGATGACTGGAAATTGGAAATTCAGCAGATATTCAGTGAACTACGGACCAAGGAAAAAGTGAGTGAATTTTTCCATCTGCAAATGCAGTAATTTTAACAAGAAAATAGGTCAATTGAGGAGCTACTATTTTTTAAAGCAGTAGGTGGGTTTGGAATTCCTGGTAGTATTCCAAAATATTAGAAGTGTGAATTTATTGTAGGGACAGACTTAAGTTTTTTTCATAAGTAAATTCAAAATTAATTTTGAGTTTTAATTGTCCTTGGTGGAAGGTGTGGCCTTCTTAAATTTCATACATTTTTCTCACGCATATTTGAAATTATAATTACTGAAATATGTAAATCTTCTGGAAGAGGTTTGAAGACCTGTTAACTATCACCCAATTCATCTCAAGTTTCAAATACTCCTACTTTCCTTAATTTCAAAAATAAAGTAACTGCATAAGAATGTAATTCTGGAGAGGGAACACTGGCATAATTATGTATTGATGAATGTTCTTTTCTTTTGAAGTCTGCATGCAGCATGGTCAAACAGAGATCTCTGAAAATTTAAGCATGACTTAACTTCTTGCTGGTGTTAGTCATAGTGATTTTATCCCATACAGCAGGACTGCGATGGGCCTTTAGAGAGGTACAAGCCCTCTACTCCCCGCCAAAACCAAATCAAACAAAAATACTCCAGTTTATATGCAGTTATTTTTCTGTACTTTTGAAAGACAGACCCAGACATGTGAAAATGATGATGATTATGCTTTCATTGGTACTAAAAAGTAGATCAGTTTGTGGAACGCACAGGCCCTGAGGGAGTAAGGTTTTTTTAAAGAATACATTTAAATGTTAAATTAAAAAAAAAATCAAATGTTCAAAAACAATTGTGGTCTGTCTGGAAGGGAAATCTGTAAGGCATGCAAAGAGTGTAGTGGCTGGTACCCATAAGGGAACATGGTGCCTTCCAGCACTTCGGAACAACAATCAGAGGGATGGGAAAGTAGTTAAGGATTAAAATCCTGATTGGGGGTTGAAAAAAAAAAAAAAAGTCTTAGTCCTCGGTGGATGATGTTCTTCGTTACAGAACTACTACATGGTACAACAAAACATGGCAATGTTTGTAATCTAACAGGGGTTCTCAACCTTTTTCTTTCTGAGGTCCTCCCTCCACCCCCCACATGCTATTAAAACTCCACGGCCCACCTGTGCCACAACTACTGTTTTTCTGCATATCTAGTAGATTAAAAGCCAGGGCCGGTGTTAGGGGTAACAAGCAGGGCAATTGCCTGGAGCCCCAAGCCACAGGGGGCCCCATGAACCTAAGTTGCTCAGACTCCAGCTTCAGCCCCGCGAGGAGGGGCTCGGGATCCAGCTTTCTGCCCTGGGCCCCAGCAAGTCTAATAGCCTTGGTCTCTGGTTTATTTTCTTAGACCCCTGGTTGAGAACCGCTGCTCTAAGACTTAATACAGTAATATTAGGGATGTTCCAGTTCAGGCCATACGACTTTCCTGAATCTGTGCTAGTGATGATGCTTTTGAAATATGGTTGTCCAAGAACTGCTCAGCCTCTCTGAGCAGTATCTCTAATTGTTCTTCCAGTCCAACAGTCTTTTCATGTAGCACAGCCATCAACTTGTACCTCATACACAGGAAGTCCCTTCTGGTTTCAGGCAGAAAAGGAAACCTGGCACATTCATGGCAGGTCACAACCACTGAGCCATTTCTGGCCGTCACAGTATTGAGTGTAAAACTGCACCTATAAAGACAGCCTCTCATACTCCCTTCAGAACTGCCCAGTTTGCCTACTCAGGAGTTCACCTAACAACTGGCTTATATACTAACACTCACTACTCAGCTTCACCCCTTCACTAACAGGGAGAGATTATCTACTAAAAGACTTCAAACACTGGGGCTGATCAGAGGCCCGTGGGTCCTAGCCACCTATCGCACTCTGAGACACAAAGAAAACAGTCCTATTTCAATTGACCTGCTCAGGAGTCCATAGCCCAGCTAAACAACTTTCATGGAAAGCAGACAGACAAACTAAACACACTACTCACCAAGTCCCTTTACCTCCAAGCACAGGGTCCGCAAGTATGCCCTCTGAAACTCCCTTGTTTGCCGCTTCTGTTTCCATTTTTTTTTTAAGTGTGGGTGCCAGGACTGGGCCATATTCCATTAATGGCCCCAGTGATGGCCTCAGTTATGCTGTATACAATGGCAATAACACCTTCCTACTTGTATGGTTTGTTCCTTTGTACATCCAAGGATCACAATTTTTTCTTTTAACTACCACGTCACACTGAGAGCTAATGTTCAGAGAATTAGCCCCCATGACCCCCAAGTTCTTTTCTAAGTCACCACTTCCCAAAATATCAGCCCCCCTACACCCCCATTCTCTGTGTGACCTCTGTTCTTGGTCCCTAGATGTGTGTGATTTTGCATTTAGCTGTGTTAAAATGAACACAGCTTACCAAGAGATCTGGGGTTCTCAGGACAAAATTTTTGGTGGCCTCAGACTGCGACCACCAACTCCTGCTGGTGGCAGCTCTGACAATTTTTCCTAAAATACTTAATTAACTTTAGGAAAAACAAATAAATATGTATGTATGCACATCCAGATCATTGCAATTTATTTATTGCTAGCTAGTAAGTCTGTTATGAAAAGTGATATTAACAAACATACAAGTATCGCTTTTCACAGCGGCCTTACTTAGCCCTGGCAAGCCTGGGGAGAAATTAAGCCCTGGATGGGGGCTCAGGAGGGGCAGTGGGGGCCAGGAGCAATGGGGGGGATTGCTGGGGGGCAGGGGAGGCAGTGGGGGGCTGGAGCCTGAAGCCCCGCACCCAAAGCCTGAAGCCCCATGGCTGGCAGATGGAGCCCTAAGCTCTGTGGCTGGTACCTGAAGCCCCGCAGCCAGAGCCTGCTGTCCCACTAACCCAGGGCTGAATCCCAAAGCCTTAGCCCTGCCACCCTTGGGAAGATGGGGAACTCGCCTGCTCCTTCAGTGTTGTGTCCCAGCAGTCTTCAGAGAGGGGCAGGCCCAACCCTTGCTGGTGGCCCCAGCAATCAACACTAAGGTGGGGCATCCTGGAGCAACAGGTAGGGGGAATTTTGCCCCCCACCCCATCACAGCTCACGAGGCTGTGGCCATATTTGAGAAACGCTGATCTAAATCATTCTGTAAAACTCACCTGTCTTTATCATTATTTACCACTCCTCCAGTTTTTGTATTGCCTGCACACTTGATCAATGATCTGAAAGAAAATATAAGACCATTCCTGGTAAAAATGTTGAGGAGCATTACGCTAAGTGGAACCCTGCTAGAAATGCCCCCATTGGATGACAGTTCCCCATTTAAAATAATTTTATGTGATCCAGTTATTAGCCAGTTTTTAACCCATTTAATTTGTGCTTTGTTGACCTTGCATAGTGTTAATAGACAAAGCAGACAAAAATGAGGGGGAGAAGTTCCATCATTTTACAGATGGAAAAAGGAGGCAAAGGGGCTAAGGCCATGTCTACACTAGTGAGCTTACAGCGGCACAGATGTACTGATGCAGCTGCACCACTGTACTATTGCTTGTGTAGCCGCTCACCTGTCTACATAATAAAACCACGACCACCACGTGCAGCGGTAGCTATATTGGCGGGAGAAGATCTCCCACTGACATAGCACTGTCCACATCGGCACTTCTGTTGGTGTAACTTTTATGTCACTCGGGTGTATTTTTTCACACCTGTGAGCAACAGAAGTTATACCAACAAAAGTGGTAGTGTGGACAAGCCATTAGTGCCGTATGCAAGGTTATGCAGGAAGTCTTTTAGCAGAGCCAGAAACTGAATCCCGATCTCCTAAATCCCTGTCAGATGCCTTAACCAGAAGACCATCCTCCTCATCAGAATTAATAAATTGTTGCTGCTGGGGTTTTCCGTTGCATGGCTGAACCACATGAAGCACATACAAAAAAAAACCAACCAAAGTACTTGAAAGTTAGGAGATGCCAATTTTATGGTTTCTCATGCATTCTTAATTCTGCCCCCTTGTCCATCCATTCTGTGCACTGAATGAGGCAGGAGTCTTGAGGAATGAAGTGTATGTGATAATGCACCTGCATAAAGGGGCCAAATTGAGGTTGGACAGGCAACTGTAAATCTACCTTTCAAGTTCTTGACTTTAAGAAAAACTAAGTTAAAACAAGTTGTAAACTAACTTCCTAGAATTTGATTTTACCATTTTTCTTTAAAAAAAATCTGTATGTTTCTGTAACAAGCCCCACATGCATCACCAGTAAGGTTTGAACCCTGAACCTTCAGCACTGCAGTGCAGACTTTTCCACTTGTGCTACAGGACTAAATATAGGGCAGAAGGAGAAGACTGTTAACTCAGAGGGTGAAAGAACCCAGCCCAGGCATCC